AGGAACAGCTGACTTGCATTAATAGCAATATGTAAAATCAATCAGCAAAGACAGAGAGCAAAGCAGGCTGTTTAAAGCCAAACCAGATAATCAGCTGGGGAAAAAAGGGAGTATGCTCACCATAGAATGAATACAATTCTTAGAAATTCCATTATTTTTTTTCCTGTAGACTTTGGTAGTAAGGCCCAGCAACATGTAACAATATTTTTTTAAGAACTGTCAAATCTTCTTCCTCTAATTATTTGTTTGTCAGAGTGTATCAGGTGTTTGCACAGGAGAGATATATACTTCTAACTCCTTTGCTGTGCAGCTTTTCTGGCCTTTACTACCTGTTGTTGATTTAGCATAACACGTTTACAGCCATAAAATGCTCATCTGTTGCTTTCTGCATTTTACATTCTCTGCAATTAATTTTAAAAGATCTGTAGCTCTTTGTTTAGATAATTTTACTTCATCTAGATAGTCTTTCTCATCATGCTTCAGGTTCTTAATTGTATTTGCCTTGCACCAGTTCCTAACACAGGTGGTGATTCAGCTCAAGAAATAGAGATTGATTATGGATGAAGAATAAGCTTCCTTGCTGTAGTTCAGAAGCTTGAATCATTGACATATTGCAAGAATAATTGCTCATTCTTTATTTGTCCTGATGAAAACTCCTTAGACATTTTAATCCATTTTCAAAAGCTGATAATTTTTTTAGTTAAGCTGAAGTCACATAAAGAAAAGATGACCAAAACTGTCGGGTACTCGTCTCTAGGTGGACAATGAACTATCAAAATGGCCAATAAATTACTACTTTTTTATTACAGGGTTTTGTTTATACCACGATTTTAACATTGCAGCAGAAGGCACCTATGAATGCTTAGCTCTAATTAGTGGTAGAATAAGGTCTGCAATAAAGTAACACTTGGTTATACTTTAGATGTGTCAGATCTATTTTAGACCATTAACCCAAATTAAATGTATTTAATGGGCCATATGGTACTCTTAATTTTCTCAGATTTGTTATATAAACCTGTAGCATGATGCTAAAACCCAAAATGAACTCCAGAGAAATCAAATTACTCAATTACGAACAGCATGTGCATCCTTGCACTGACACGAAGCTCTCCTTTATTACTGGCTGACCACATGGCTTGGTTTTCTCCCAGTTTGAAGGGAGGGTTTGATTGACACAGCAGAGCACAGCCTGAGCAGCTGAGTGCTCTAAATATTGCTAGTATGTGTTTTTACTGTAAGGCTGACTAACTAAAGAAGTAGAGTTTGGCTACTCTACAACAGGGAGTTAGTTGTGTGTTGCTGATAATTTATTCTAGATGCATTTTTTTAAACATAATTTTATTACTTTTATTAAGTTTATTAATTTTAGGACATTATTATGATTTGCATTAAAGTCCATTAGTTTTAGGAAACATTTTATTTGTTTAATAAATACAAAACATGCTAGATGAACTTTGCAGTCATTACCAAAGAGTTGAAGAATGCTGATGATGTAGAAACCGTGTAATAATAAAAAATGGGAAGAGAACAGTATTTTGCATGTAAAGCATTCTTCCATATTAGTGCTGTATTAAATATTTATTGTTGAACTAGTAATTATCAGGGGCTTGTGTGTCAGAACAGTGAAAGTGGAACAAAGCAGTTGAGCTCTTTAAATGCAGTTCTATTGAAGTGAACGTTGCTGTCACAAAGATTAAATCCTATGCCATCAAGGATGGTGAGGTAAAGCACCAAAAGTACCATATCTCACTGTGCTCTTAACCAAATCTCTAAACGTTTCATGTATAAATGTTCATGCATAAAAAATATTTCAGTGTAGCTATAGTGAGGGGGGAAAAAGTAACATATTGTTTCTGAATATTCAAAGTGGAATGTAAAAGGTTTTTCTGAGGGGCAGAATGCTGGGTACAAGTCTGACTTGGGTTTCTGAAAAAGGAAGGCTTCTCTTTCTTCAGTTCCTGGTATGCTAGCAGAAATTGGGGTTGGTAATTTCAGAATTAACTGTCAAATTTTGTATTTCACGTAATTCAGTAAGCTTTTAAACATTAAAGGAAGAACAGGCTACTCATCTTTATGGAACTTGACCGGCTGTGTTGGGCAGTCGGAGGAAGTGAGGAGAATCTCATCGACATGGCAGTGTAGGACACTGTGGGATATTTAGGCATTTTATTCCTGAAAGGAGCAGTGGATCTTGTATGTATATATATATATATATATGCCTAAAATTATAAACATGACTTTTTGTGTGGATGTGTACGATGTGAATGGGAAAGGTTGTAGAAGATACAAGTGTGGTTATCTAAAAACACCTTTGCAATGAGTATGTAGTTTGAGCTTCTGCCATTTCTCTTGTAACTCTTTGGACAGACTTTGCACAGTTGTGAATGTAAGAGTGGAAGAAGCAGAAATGTTTGACAAAAGTAAAAAGGGAGAGATATAACCACCTTCCAAAAATACTTATGAAATGGAAACTATTTCTTGAAGGTATTTTAAAATAAGTTTTCTATGAGAATCTGAAGCCCTTATTTAAACTGGGTAATATGCAATTGCATTCTTCATAGCGATGAAATGAAACTGTGAAGCAATAATTATGCTAATTTTAAAAAGAAAAAATACCAAGATTTGTCTCTGTCCAACTCTTAAAACATTTTCCTGATAACCTCAGGGACTTTGATGTACAGAATGGTGTATTTTAGTGTTAAAGGAGAACCAATCTTACACCGTTCTTGTAGCAAGCTAGTAATTTAGGAGGTTGATGTGAGGAAATTATGTTGTACTATATAAATTGTTAGCTAAATGCAAATAATCTCCAGTACTTCTACATTCTAGCATTCCTGAAAAGAAACGTAAGTAGCTTACTTACTATAATAGATGTTGAAAGCCTTTGTGCCTACTGTTTATTAAGTATTTAATTACCTGATGTCTTTGTAATCTACACTAATATGTAGCACTCAATCTGGGGCTTGATTTCCAGTTCTCTTCTCATATTTATTACGGTACTGTTGCTAAGATTTCACCATTAAATACTTACGTGAGAGAAATACAAAGATGTCACTAACTAGAATTGTTTTAAAGCAATTTACCCAGAAAATGTTTATTATGTGTCTTTATCCTTTTAATTCTTTTTGTCTTAAGCCCTAGTCTGCAATTGTGGCAAATTCTTTGCACTGTTAGCATTTCATAGACCATAGATACCTTGAATATGATCATCTCATTCAGTTTTTTGTTGTGGCAGAGCGTGTGATGAACTGAATAAAGGATTGATTCCATAGTAGTTGTTAAAGACCTCAAAATGTGCTTCCAAAAGGCACCATGATGACCTCTAACCTCCTGGCCAGTAAGGGACATTCCATATGCCTGACTTCTTCTCTTGCCTTCCCTAGCATCTCAATTAGATATGACTTTCTTTGTCCTCTGAAAGACCCAGCCATGTTGCAGCACACTTCATTCTCCGCTGTATTCAAGATGCTTCAACATAAAAAAATGCTCTGTAAATGAGATATTGCTACAAGTCATTAAGAGTCTGGTTGCAAATAAATACAACTTTGATTTGTGTTTGTTTTTCAGAGCCAGAGCTTCAACTGTGTGGAAAAGACTAGATGTCCAGGATCTAATGTGAGTTCTGTGCAGATACAAGGGGATTCAGATTACTTCATCAACCATCTCGGAGTACCTGCCACACAGTTTTCTTATGAGGACATCAAAACATCAGAGGTAGTTATTCATAAAAATGTGCAAACTGAAAATAACAGAAATATAGAATTGTGTCTTCTCAAGTTTTATCCTCACATGACAAGCATGTTGTAGTGGAAAGTTATCTCCAGTAAGTGCATTTTTTTAGGCCTGCAGAGGATTACCACAGAGCTTCAAAGTGACTGTTTTTATAAGGATATGGCAATCAATCACATAAAATTTGGAGTACATTATGTTAAAAATGTTAATATTTATGATGATATTATAGGTTTTGTACTATCTAACCCAACTTTTCAGACTTTTCAACATAGAGGAAAGAGGTATTGATGTATTTTTTTTAAGGAACAGTGGATGAGACAGCCTTCAAAATGAATTCTATATCCATTTTCATACTGTGAGCAAAATAATGATTCTCTAGTATAAATGTTGGCAGTAAAGATCTGTATTCTTGATTGGTGTATTTAAAACACCACGTTCTTTTTCAGTCCCTCACCCTCTGGAAGGTAAGTGGAAGGAAGAGGCATGTTATGGTGTTTGGATATTGTTGGAATTGGACATAGGTAAACTGTTAGGAAAACTGCTCCTTCCTCAGCCTTCACTACTCCAGAATATTTGCACTTAGATAACTCAAACCTACCCTCAGTTGGGCAGCTGAGAATCAGGCAGCCTGGCATTAGTCCTTTAAAGGCACAGGAAGCATGCAAAAAGGTATGTGTTTTCTGGTAAATGTAACGATGCATCGACTTCATATCCTTGTTATTTCTCTTCTTGCACTGTGCTCATCTCCATATGAACACATCTTTCCAAGTTCAGGAACTAAACTGAAGCTGGGTTGAGCTGGAATGCTTCTTAACACTGCATGTTGATATGCTTCTTTTTCACAAATGCAAAACAAAGTAGAGATATGCCAAATATGGAGCATTGCTGTCATGTTGTTGTGTAAATTAAAATAGATTAAGTCAAGAATTTAACTAAATAAGGAGACTTCTGTTTCTAAACATCATGGCACCTATTCGACAAAGTTTTCTGTTTCAGATTAAACACAAGGCAAAGGCTGTAAGGAAAATGTGAGGGCAGAAGATGTATGAATGCAATGTTTATGACAGGCTTGTGGTCCAGAGCAAATTTTTGTTGTCACTTAGCAGCTATTCCACATAGTTTTCCTTCAAGATCTGTGCATGTAGGATCTGTAGAGCATGAGAAATAATCTGCAGTCTTCAATATATCAAAATAGTAAGTATTTCCCAGCAACATTTACAATACAAAGACTGAAGGTTCCTTTGGCTGTTGTCATTCTTAGTGTTCAGTTAACCTTGTAAATGTGCATTTTTTTCCTCTCAGAATGACTCAGCAATGTAATTAAAATCACAAAAGAAAGTATTTTCAGATTTGCTAAAATACTGCCCTGTAAATTTGGTTCTCTGGTAAAAGCTCAGCTTTTGTCCTTGCAAAATAATTTCCTAGAAATAAAGTTGATAAGTGTAATGTGCAGTCTTGAAGTAGACGTACTGCTCTTCTCAGATTGTAGGAGATGTTGACCTCATGGGATCTTGTACTGCACTTCTCAGACTGTAGGAGATGTTGACCTCATGGGATCTATTTTATGTGAGAAATAAATCTGCTTGGCAGAATATGTAAATTTCACTTAGCAAGAGGATGGATTTTTTTCCTAAAAGTCAGGCTACACAGAATGATTTAATTTGGATTATTTGCTATATTTTTGTTATTTTTTTGTACTGAGCTTTAGCAGTCCTTCAAAAGATGCACTTGTTTTCTCTCCTATGTTCCATCAGACAGGCAGTCTGTTTATTCTTTACTGTTTATTGCAATTGTTTATTGTGGTTTTTGTTTATTGTATCAAGCACATATTATAAGGTTGACAAATTATTGTGTGTTTACAACCATATCAATAAACATTATAGGAACTAATGTTATGCAGGTTAGTGACTGATTATAATAAACTGTTGTTTTGCAGGGAGGAATTTTTGCTTGTTTGTTTCCAAGCCATTCAGATTTTTAAACTGTGCCTCAGCTTTGTCAGCTTCATTGCAAAACAAGATTTGGGAAAGCAGATTTCAGAAATGGGCTGTTTTGACATGCTTTTGTAGACTAGCATTTTGCCAGGTTGGTTTTCTCTCCTCTCTCTTTCACTGCTGTGACCTATTCAGATTTTCTCTTTGTTTGGAATATACATTAGTTGTTTATTTTACCCACCTGTCAGCCAGCATGCAGTGTCACATAAAACTGATGCTGTTCCACAGTTGAAAAAACCTGTTCTGGAGTAAAAAAGCCCAAGACTTGTGCTTGTATTCTGCCTACAGAGCAACAGCTACAGGTCAGCTTTAGAAATGCATTTCTTACACAGTCAGTGCAACGCCAGTCCACAGAGAGAAGGTTATAAAAGCCTTTCATTGACAAGAACCTGAGGAGTAAATAAGAGGAAATAAAAGTTGTAAGAGGAAACATTCAGGCCAGAAGAGTAAGTAAAACTGTCTGGCTTGAAATTACGTAATACAGCGAACCACAGCCTCAGGGAGGTTAAATCTGCCTGGCAAATGCCCATGGTCAATCTCTGAGCCAGTAAAGTGAGTCTGAGAATTCAACCACTACTATAAAAGTGCACTGAGCAAAATGCAGCTCATTTATCCACTAGCAAAAAATATGTAGCTTTTTAGTCTCAAAGTAAGTAAACTTGGAAGAATTTATCAAGTGGAAAAAAAACATACTACCCCAATTTCCAAGGATTCTCTTGCAGTTGCTGAAGAAAGCCTTTCTCTTAATCTCTGGTGCACTGGATTTTCCTCCACATGAGGGTCACATTCTGATTTATAATGTGGTAGGAGAAAGGCTGATCAGATTTTCCTAATACTGCTGATTCTCTTACTTTCAGGAGGAGGCATACTCTTCAGGATAATGTTTAGTTTGCATCCAAATGACTATGTAGAGCCTCCAGAGAGAGACATAATGTTGATTTCAAATCTGATTTTCTCTGCTGCTGACAGCCCATGATTCTAAGTCTATGAGTCCTCACCTCAGCAGAGAACATTATTAGAAATATATTCACTTAGCTTTACATCAACAAGCAAGGGCCATATAAACTAAAAGAATTCTTAGATCATAGACTTGTCTTTCTTATTATCTGTACTGCAACAAAAGCTGGATATCAATTGAATTAGTTGTTTGTATCAGCATTGGTACTTCAGGAATAACAACTTGGAGCAAGTGAGTAAATTCTGATTTTTTTTTCCCACGTGTAGACTATTTCTATGCCCTTGAAAATATGTCATGTTTGTATGACAATGCATTTTCAAACAACAAAAAAAGATGTAATAGGTATAATGCATAAATATCCTCCATAGTGCTAGAAAATACATGCATATAGCAGACAGAAGTGTGGGTTTGGACACATCACTGTTCATCATGACTCTGCTTATTGTCTTGGATATAAATTCTTCACTTAGGGTATTTTTATTTTGTAAACAGAACATGTTATTTACATGACTGAAGCTCAGCTCTTGTTGCCTGATTGTAAATTAGGAGTAACTCTGAAAACATTGGGTATGGTGGTGTATGACCTGATGAACATGCATTCAGTTTCTGCTTGAATTCATCATACTTCTTTTTTTTTGAATGGATATATATGGATTGTGTACCTGTATAATAGAAAATACTGCTCTATCACTTACAGCTTACCCTGTTTCCTCTTCCCTTACACATCTTTTGTGTCCTTCTCTGTTGTTATTTTTGTTTGCATGTTAATGGGAATTCTAGTATTAAGTAGTTTATTTTAGTTGTGAGAGTGATATCTGAGTTCTTCCATATGAAGTAACATTCACTGTAGACTCAACTCTGCTCTTGTGAATGGCTGCCACAAAATACAAAAACAAGTGTTTAAAATTATTGAAACTTAACCTTTAGAGCAATAACAGGTTCATTATTCAAATCTGTGGCTGTGGTAACAGAAAGTGGTTTCAGTCACAGTGAATGCTTACTTGTTGGCTTGTATGAAATATCTTATAACTGGAGACATAAATGGAAAAGAAGCATGAATCCATGCCTTAAAATGTTGTTTGGCATTCATTTTTACACGGCATTTATTATGTAAAAGCAGCATGGTCTGGAAAATTTTGTGTTGTTTTCTGTCTCTAGCTATAGTTTTATATAGTTTTATCTGTTGGAGAGACTCAGAACTTCAGAAGTTTATCCATCCCTCTTCTTTTACCCTGCTTGTTTCTCATTTCTCTCCCTTATTTCTTTAAGCTTGGCCTTGTTTTTACGTGAGCATCATCTCTGTAATTTTCTCTCCTCTTAGAGGAGCACTTTAAAAATGTAGTTTGTTCTGATGGATTCAACATTCTAATTGCCTTTTTTCTTTCACAAAAGAGGACAGAGAAAAGTAGATTTGGATCTGTGTTTGGAGGTGTAGTAGTGAACTTCTTCCCTAAATAGAACCACCCCCCTAGTTAAAAGTTAATTGATTATGTCTTTCATAGCACAGTTTCAAGCACAACTGCTGAAGTCCTGGAGTGTAAGTAGATCACAGAGATGGAGAAAAATAGCCTTGCTGGGGCTGCCTAATGTTTGGGTACAAGAGAAAATACAAACTGGATTTTCCATGGTTTCAATTAGAGATTTGATTGTTTGTTCAGTATTGTAAATCAGACAGTATTGAACTCTTCAGCATATTGAGGCTGGCTCAATCACTTGCAAACTTAAGCTGGTACAGGAGTGTTTTGAGTTTTTCCCTGATGTAAATTGACTGTTACTATCCATTTCTGTGTTACTGCAGTCGAGAGTTTCACAAAGAATCCAATTTTGTTTTTTAAATTATGGCTAGATGGTTTCCTATGTTATCTGCATATTATTCGTCCTTCTCAGTGCATCTTATTACATAATGATTCTTATCTGATAACACAGAATCTTAAATCCCCTCTATGATAATGCGATAGGTTACATCAACATTAGCATTATCATTTTGTTCTGAGAGAAAACCAGTTACTGCACATGCACACGATTAAAAC